TCCCATCCCACTCCCAGGCTGCTCCTGCCCCACAGTACACAACAAAGCAGGCACACAGCCTTCCCAAAAATCTGTTTAGCAAATTCATGTATTATCTTGTAATAAATACAAGTGTTATCTCACAGGAAAATGCTTTCAGTCACATAAAAGACATTTAGCATTTGCAAAGCCTCTGCACCAGAGGATAGTATTCCTCCTTCCCAAATTTTTTTCTTGAAAAAAGGAACTTGTGGGATAATACACTTTTTACCAATAGTATCCTAAATATCCATAATTTGGCTTGATAAATAAGAATTCCTCCGGTATTCAAAAAGAGATCAGCCATGAAAAATATATTAGTGCCATTCCTAGACACTATTTACTGAAAAAAGATCACCTCTGTGGTTTTCTGGGAAACCAGAGCTTAGAGTATGTTACAGGAGAAAGTTTTCCAGAGTTGAAAGACAAGACAGCCCTCCATTTCCCTATATTAAAATAATCTAATTTCATCCCAGTGAGAATCCCTGCATATAAAAGTCATTTTTCATACACCAAGTAGTTTAGTGCATCTGTTCTGCAGCAACTGTTCGTAATGTAATTATAAATCACACAGTTCAAATAAATGCCAGGGGCGGGCAGCCTGATTCCCCAGAAGCCCAATTCTGTAAACAGAGGAGTGTGGCCTACTACAGAGTCCCTCAGAAGCCATGAGGCACTGCTGAAGCCGTGGCCAGTGTCCTTGGACTGTGCCACACCCCTGGGGTCAGGAATGAGGCTTGCAATGGGTGCCTGTCACGCAGCCTGGTTGCCCATGATGCAGCACAGACAACCCAAATGTGAATGTATTGCCTCAAATACAACCTGTCAGCTCTGCTCAGAACTAGGCAAGCCAAGAACTCTGAGCACTGCAAGGGCTGGAAAAATCCCACCAGTCACTTTGCATGCATTTAAGGCAGCATTGTGATTAAAAATGGCAAATTTAAAGGAAACACCACTTCTTAAGAGGAGTGCTCAGCTATGGATTCTGTGACTTATTACAGTAGTATATAATAAAATTTATTTTTTTTTTATAATCAAAGTAAATTAGTAAAGGAATATTATAAGTGCATCTATGTGGAAAAAAACTAATGCAAAATACTTAATTCCTGAACGTGATCAGAAATTTGGAAGATCCAAGCACAGTTCACTTTTCATATGTGTAGCATCTTACAGTGATCTTAATCTGTTAAATTTGTCTAATGACAAATCTATGGGAACCTGAAGTTTTATATGTTGGTATCTCACAGCCCCTGACTGATGATACCATCCTGAATTAAAACAATGCATAATTTCCCACAAGGCAGAAATTACTTCCATTTGGTAATCAGACATGGTAAGTTTGTTGCCATTTTGCTTTGATGGAAGTGCAAACAAAGAAAAATATCTCCTGTTAATATGTTAGAAGAAACAGTGAGAAACTGAACTTTTAGGAACACTGGTTATTACATCACATGACACTTCTTGAGCCTGCAAGTTGTTACCATGCTGGTGCACTGTGCACGCCCTGGAGAAAACATGGAGATCAATGCCTGTTTGCTCTCAACAGTGCACTCTAGCAGTGAGGAAGAGGCAGATGGAGGAGAAGGGGTGGTCAGAGAGGCTCACACCTGAGGGCTGAAGGAGTCTGCACACACAACAGCACTTGCTGCCTTCAGCAGAGCCTCACACTGTCCAAGAGCTTTAAGAAAAGACCCTGAAAACAAGTCCTACTTGTACCCTGTGTCACCACCTTCAGCAAACTACCACCTTCATGGGCAACTTTCCTAGTTACAGAAAAGCCAGAAAGAGATTACCTATTGGAAAAAAAGCTTATATAAAACAGATAAAATCACCTTTTCTCAACTTTTCAACCACATTAAGAAAATCACTGCATAAGCACTGATTAGTCTTAGCAGCTGTTTTTGGAATCACATTAGTTTAATTCACAGTAAAAATGCAGATGAGCTAAGCAGATTAAAACATTAGAATGAGCAACACTGGCCACCTGTCCAAATAATTTGTATAATTACATTCTACAATCACTCTCTTGTGGCATGCAGTGCTTAAATACCTCTTAGTGCATTCAGAGAAATATCACCTTTGCCCAATGAACTACCAGCTGAAAAGTCATGAAAGCACTACACAAATCCCACATTACCAGCAGGCTGACAAACACCACAACACTGGTGGCTGTAAGAGGTGTCCTGCAAGCACAGGGCAGCATGCAATTTCATGGGTCATTCAAATGCAAACAAATGCAGTAGAAGATGAATTTTGCTTACTTCGGTTCGCCTATCTTGATACCCGGGTGTTGTGTGTAGGCATGGGAGTGTGTGCTGGGAGCAGATTTAAATGCCATGGGACAGATAGGACACTTGTAAAAGACTTCACAGTGACAGCCTTGAATATGAGACTTGAGTGCCGCCACGTCGGAGTACACAACATTGCAGTGCACGCAGCTGCGGAGAGAGCGGAGGAGAGTCAGTGCAGCCTGCCCTGAGCAGTGCTGGACATAATCAACATGGATTTTCAAGCAAAGGGAAGAGAGAAACACACATGGATAGCAAGTGGATAAAACTACATTACTCTGTCAACTTAAACAACCCCAGAAAAATCAACATAACCAGTGATTTGTGGATCACAAAGTAAGGGGAAAGAAATTTCTTACACTGTAATTTGAAAAACGTTTTTATGCTATTACAATAGAACAGATAGAAAGGTGGATAGACAAATACTCTATTGATTGCAAAAAAAAAATGCTTAAATCCTCTGCAAATTTGGAAAGAGATTTTCCAGAATGCATTTTTATCACATGCAGGGCATTGTTTAAAGTACACCAAAGCAATTTAGAAACAACCACCAAATGGAAAACCAGTAAGGAAAATATTTCCCTCATTTAGATTTAATGAAGATATACTGGTAATGATTTTCTGTACATGTAATCAAATCAGCACTCAGATTGAAACTCAGGAAAACTAAACCAAATCCCTACTATCAGATCAACGTATCATATTGGAATTCAGAAAATATTTTTCAAAAACATACTTCTGCTGTGTCGAAAATTTGTGACCTTTCTGCATCTATTCTAAAATGAAATGATTAAAAATTGAATTAATATTAGAACATAAGAATTTTCATACACAATGATCCCCTTTAATGCCCTACATCTCCAGTAGCAAATGCTCCCAAATCAGTCCAAGAACATAGTGCAATCAGCAATTACCTGTCAAATGAGACAATTTCTTATTGATCAGTATTTTGCAGTAGGACTTTTAAAAGCTCTTCAAACGGAGAAGGCCTCCACCCTTCCAGAATTTTAATTTTAGCATCTATCATGGCAGTATAATTGTTGTCACATAAATGTCAGTTTAACTTTTCAGTAGTTTTACTGCCCTGATGATAGCAATAAAGCAGGAAATACAGTTCTACATTGAATTCAAGGATCCCATTTTACTTTTAAAATTTATTGAATTCAAGGATCCCATTTTACTTTTAAAATTTATCGCTCTTGAATTTTATGAAATGTCATCCTTTCTTTTTCTGGGCATTTAATTTATAATCTTAATGATATTCATTGACTTTATACCCATGGAGTCTCTGCTTACCAATATATTCTCTAAAGCAGATTATTCTGGTCTTTTTTGACTCTCTTAAGAGTTTCTGTGCTCATACTGAGTGCATGTGATGCACTCAGTAACACATCTACTCCTGAGGTGTCCCTCTGGAGAGCAGGGTGGCATTTTCACCTCCCTGTGCCACGGCTTGACTTTATTCTCTAGTGATGGCACACAACAACTGAGCCTCAGCATCCACCATTGTATATTACACAGTTCCTAAGGACCAAGTGTTCCTCTTGGGGACTGTTCCAACAGCTGCTTGCTTTCACCATGGCAGGATGCAGTGAAACTTCAGGCTGAAGTTTTCAGCTGATTCAGTGCAGACAACTAGCCTAAATCACTGGAGTCAAAGGGAACTGCTTGGCAGAGGCCCTTTGGAGAGGCAGGACAATCTATGCTGCTCCTTAGGCAAAAGCACTGCAGTTCTAAGGAGAGGCTGAGGAGGCTAAGGAGGGAGACAGTAACATTCCCAGAGACTGCTGTTGCTTGCCTGGGTGACTTTGGTTTATTCTCACCAGATCAAGAAATTCTGATTCGATGTGACAGGAGATGTTTATGAGACATCTTGAAAAGTTTAGTGACTGAGATTCCCAGTGAAGGGGATTCTGCTGGTGTTACTGGGAAAGGCCAGGAGTCCCTAGAGGCGATACTGTGTACAAACCCAAGGGACATACATTAGAGGGAAGAGCAGGGGGAAGTGCAGGAAGCAGATGGAGGAAATGCAGGACTAGACAGGCTACTGCTTGAGAGAAAAGGGTAAAAGAACCCAAAGAAATGAAAAGAGCTTAGAGTTAATGTCAGGCCATGAATTCAAGCCGAAAGCAGAGGCTTGATGCAGTAAAAATGCTTTCTTCCCTTAGGGGACGACTGCACAGCCATCCTGGAAAATGAACTGTGGCACCTTAAGGGTGGAAGATTTAGAATGGCCTTTTTCCAGGCAGACATGGTGAAGTGGACGTGTTTTTGGAGTGCTAAGCAAAGCTCGGGGTACAGGTGGCTCTTCTGATTTCTTGCTGTGCTGCCTGCCATTCAAGTGCAAGGAAAATGCTAACAGAAAGCATTTTCTCAGTCTTTCAAAATTAAACACTTCTATGAAATGCCTCTGCTCCCCATTTTCTCAGTGAGTTGCCATTACAGGGAAATGTAAAAGTCAAAGGGAAAGTGAAGAATAACAGAGGAGAACCAAACAACAAGGTTGTTTGAGAAAGGCAATTTCCAAGTGATTTAAAGTTATAAGGAATCTTGACTTGCCACAGAAAGAAGAACAACCAGACAGGTGCAGTATGCCCATCAACATCTCAACCATACATTCTGGAAGTACTGACAATGACTATTCTACCAGAAAGAACAATCTAAAATTCAATGTATTGAAAAAAACTCAAGGTTTTTGAAAACCTGAAATTAAGATAATGCATCTGAATTCTAGACTTTATAAACCATGAAGTCCTGAATCTGTGTTACACCAGCTAATATTCTGATTTAATCATATACAAAAGTGGATGCTCAAAACAAAGCAGAATCCTAATGTATTTATTCCAAAATTTCAGTACTAATAGTACTATCGCCATGACCATCTTAAACCCATGAAGCTGCTATGGTCCAAACAGTGCTTATGAAAATGGAAAACCACTTTAAAAACCATAAATTATACAAAAATTTACAGCAAAAGGAATCATTATACTGACCGAAACCCAACTCTTCGGGTATAATGCAGGCAGTTCTTAGTGACATGGGTCTGGAAGTGGACAGATCTGCAGATTGCTCCACATTCAGGACACGTGTATGGAGATTTATGCTGATGAATTCTCTGGTGTGATGCAAAACTGCACTGGTTAGGAAGCAGCATCTGGCAGATATTGCATGTCTTCTAAATGATAAACCAGAATAGATGAGACAAAAGGTTTGGTTCAGCTCTACATAACGTCTTGTGTCTCAAACACTGCAATACAGCAAATAAAGGTTAAATTTCGTAACTGGGATGGGACCCAATGCAGTAGGCAAGTACAAACACAAGACCTGCTGACAAAGCTGGCACGTGCTGGTAGCCAGACTGACTGGCATTCTGGGCTACAAAGCTCCTTCCTACACTACTGACCACGGGAGATACACATGCTTTACAGAAATATTATTTGGGTGCCTTCCCAGACTACCTTAATAGTGCAAGGGGCCTACATACAACTCCAGAATCAAGTTATTGCTACTGTCTCTTGTGGCCTGGGACTTGTGAACCTCACCAGTGACTTGCAAAGATTTAAAATCAAATCCAAGACTCCTTCATAACATCAGTATGTTTTTGAACATGTATTTGCATGTTTTTAGGAATGTTCTAAGAGTCTGGCATATGTACTGATGTGTACACTCTGCAAGAATATTGACCAAAAAAAGATCTCCAGATCTGCATTATAAATTATTTACTACCATACGCATGAAGAAATCCTGAAATAAATGCACTGGAAGCACTGTGGCCTGGTGTGTTTGCGCAGAGTCCTCCACACAAACAGAGTTCTCCAATGTCCTGACGCAGCAAGATGGCAAAATGCAAACCATTAAATACACAGCATGTTAAGCAAAGAAAGCATGCCATCACTGCAATGCAGGTTCCACTGGCACTCCTGCCAGCCCACTACAGTAGTGTTCAGCATGGGTAGATGTACTTGCTCTCCTGCAAGCCTCTACCCGAGTTCAGCTGTCTACAGGGATTTCAAACTGGCACCTGCTTAGAGCCTTTGGTACGCAGCAAGGCTATATTGAGACACAGAAATATCCACTTTGAAATGCCAAATACTTGGTCTTAATTGACCAAGAAATGCCCAAAAGTGGGGGACTCACAGCCTCGGGCTGACCAGAATTGTTCTGGGGTGTTAACTTTGTCTTAAGTTCAGATGAAGGCAAAACCCTCTGACCAGCAATAAGTGCCACATTTACTGGGCTCAGTACTGTTCCCCACATCTCTCTTTGGCTATCCATGTATTAACAAGCTGTAATACAATAGTGGAGAATCTGGAGCATTATTTGATTACATAAGAAAACAGCAAACCAGAACTTCTTATTCCAGTAACAGAAACATTTAGAGGTTTCACAGTCCTTCCAAAGCCTTTGGCTTGCAGGACTTCTGAAGGAAACTGGGATGTGATGCCACAGAAGAGCCACACAACATTCCAGCCTCAGCTCAGAGATCTTTCTGATTTTGCAGCAAGCTGCCAGACCCGTTTACTAACCCAACATGCCAATAATGCTCTTAGTTAAGGCCCCTGCTCTGCTATTTCAACAAGTACAGAAAATGTTTAATTGTAACTGATTACAGTAGAACAAGAAGCATCTACTGTGAAATTCTGACATTTAGCACGTTTGCTTACCATTTTATTTTGGGCTTAAGGTGGCATTAACTTCCAGTTCTCTCATTCCAACCCACACCAAAATAAAACACAGTTTGTGAAAATCATCACCTGCCTGCATTTAAAGTCAAAGTTTCAGAAAAAAAAAAGGGTTAGAAGGAAAAATGGTGGAGGTGGAAAATAAAGAAACACACATACGCTGAGTATGAAGGGAAATGAGCTATGCAGTTTCCATGGGAGCTATATACTCCTATCTATAACTAAGAGAAATACTAACATTCATTAGCCCAGATATGCTACCTTTTTCCCCCAGCAAGTAGATGAGGGTTTTATTCAGCCAGAAAACCTGTCAGTGAGTCAGGGTTAATACTCCTTTAGCAGGAATATTCCTTTAGGTTAATATTCCTTTAACAGGAATATTAATGGCAATAAAACATTACCGAAAGGTAAGAACTTTATAGTGAATGTATTTTCACTGATAAGACTGTTCTACCATTGCTTATTTTAAACAAAACATTCTACCTTTGTAACAGGAGTATACAAGAAGCTACTTACTCATTGGAAACACGATTTCAGGAGCAATTAGATGGGACACTAGAAAGAGGAGTAAGCTGCAAATAACCTTTTTTCCTATTACTTGTTTGCAAAATCTAAGTGTTTATTTTTATTCTTTCTTCCTTCCTTCCAAAGGAAGATATTTTTTTCCTTCCAAGAAAAGACAGGGAAGTTAGATGAGATTGATATTTTTTTCCTTCCAAGAAAAAATATCAATCTCATCTAACTTCCCTGTCTTCCTCCCCCACAATAATGGCAGTTTTACAGCAAAAAGACAGTGCCAAGCACTAAGAAGGAAAACAAGTCAGATTATTTCTCATCCAAGCTTCTCAAGACATAACATCTAATGAAAAAGCAGCAACGTACTTAGTAATAAATGCCTATGCAGAGCCTTTCTCCAGGAAACACTACCCCTACAGGACGCAACCAAACTCCTCATAAAGAAGAGCACCTGTTTGACATATGGAAAGGACTACAAAAATGTGGAATTAAGATTTAAAAGGATATTTCAACAAAGAACATTTACAACTACATTTATTAAGTGTTCTTTTCAAACAGAAGAACATGAAAATAGCTTCTTTTCCTCCAGTGCTTTGCACTGTTTTTTTGATCCTGCAACTCAGCAGAGCAGGTTTCCATGAGGAGACACAAACACCCTGACCGGCAGCAGGCAATGCCAGCTGCTCCTGCAGCTCCAGCGGCTTCCCTACTTGAATAGCAGTACCTGGGAACCCATAATTCTCTCTCGACCTCCCTGCAGCTGCATTTTGACATTCTGTGAACATCACAATTGCTTCCCTTTAGTAAATTACCAGGATAAACAGCATCTAAAGGACTTGTATGGAGAGGAAACTTGGCAGCAACAGGGCAAAAGCACCAGACAGAGGGAGAAAGGGAATGGCAAAAGGTTTAGTTTACTTGGCCATAAAGACAAAAATCCTTACACGCCGAAAGTGAGAACATCACTTTATCTTTATTCTCTTTCTTTTTCAATTTCTATTTTAGCCTCATTCTCCCAACCTATTCTCTGTCCCTCATCCAATTGCTTTGTCTTGTCACCTTCTTACGTGCTTGCTTTTCCAGTATCAAAACCACCAGGTTTTTGCAAGGTCTACTGGATCTTAGATTGAATGTTACCTAATGGGCTTATTATGGGAAAAAATCTACCTACAACCAATAAGCATCAGCAAATCAGTTAGCTAAACTCCCTAAGTAGCCTAAGCTGGTGCAGAGTATACTCTAATGTTCAGCCATTAGATCCTGTTCAGAACTGCAGCAACATCTATGGATGGACATGTTCTGCTGAAGGAAACTCCCTTAGGTATGCACACTTGCAGTATCTCACAGAAATTCACTTGCATGGCATTCCACTTGGAATCCAAATAATTTCAGTCTAAATCTGCTAGCCAGTTAAAGGGAGGAGCTAAGGCAGAGCCACATAATCAAGGTTATTTCCATGTGCAAATCTTTTTACATTACTCCCTGCAGTGGTAGGTGCAGTGGAGCTACTTCATGGTACAGAGCAGGTCCTACATGTAGCGAACAGATCCTGACAGGAACCTGCCTGTGCTCCTAGGACTACTGCATTTTTTCCTAACTGCAGGACTTAAAAATCTTTAGCCTGTCCACTGTTGTGTGATTCCCAGGAAGACTCCTGGGGCATTCCTGTCTTGAGCATGCTTGCAGGTGTTCAGCTTCCCCCACAGCAAGAAGCTGGAGTAACGAGCTCACCTGAATGCTTTGAAACACACCAGAATCCCTTTTAATTGGCACACCCCAACAGAAATCCAACCATATCATTTAATTAGCCACCTTCACTCTGCCAAGATTATAAAATACATCGCACACTGATTAATATTAAGTTTTATTGAATGATGTGTTTCTTTCAGGTCAGGCCACACACATTAGTAATAATTTTCAAATGGTTTTTATGTTGAACTCATTAGCATTTGTAAGAGGAAAAGAAACCCAACTAATTAAGCCAATGATCACACAGAAAGGAAGATGTGCAAGTGAGAACATTTTGCACTTTCTGAGGAAGAGTTGAGGCAAATAGCAGCATTCCTGTCAGTAGTCAGTGTGCCATTTGTCACTGCCTGAGTCCCTCCCCTGCACGTGAGGGGAATGCCTCACTCACTTAGGGCACTTGGTGAAAACTCTAAAACATGAAGACCAATCATTCAGGTTGAATAGACAGGCTGTTAATGAGGGTGCCAATTAAGTGGATTCCACAGGCTAGTCAAATTCCAAAGCACAGAAAGAAGCATTAACATATTATTAGTAATACCCACGATTATTTTCTGCATTATCATGTTCAGCTGTAAGAAAACTAATGCTAAATTTTAGCAAAAATATACAGTATCTATTTCAGACTTCAGGGCCTAAGATTCTGAGTCTTATTTTAAAAGTGTTGACATTCACTATGTAAGTGCTTGCAAGGCTTTCTGTGGTTTTCATTTATCATTTTAATCACAGAGGTTCAGATAATTAACAGCTAAATGAAAGTAAAAACATATCCAAAGTCTCCTAGGCTTATAGATGAAACATTGGAATGTAAACATAGGATACTCTACTTGTCCACTTGTGTCTGCAGCCTGCTGGAAATGAGTTGCAAGAGATGTCTCATCTTGGAAAACTTCATTGCACTCCAAACACTTTAGACTATGTCTACAGAGTTTTGATGGATCTTCGTCTAGCGGCATAGCTGGAATGACAGGAGAGCTCGCAGGGGCCGAGATCACTGTCCCAGTTAAGCCAGTCTGGATCTTTGTTATGGAGTGTGTGCCAGCTCCCCCTGCACTCTGGAGCACGGCTGCAGCAGTATTGCTGGAAGGAGATGCTATCATTTGATCTGCTGGGACTGGTTTTAGGATCAGGTGGGAACACTGCATCACAACGCCTTTTTCCTTGTGCCCACGAGCATGGGATAGGAGACTACATTTATTGTAGAAAACTAAATTCTTTGTACAATGATTACAAGTCACTTCAATTCGCACACTCCTCCTGTCATAATGCTGGGTCAGGCTCTTCTCGAGAGCAAACGAGTCACCACACTCCAAACACTTGTAACCTCGTGTTGGTAGCGTGATTCCGGCATTGGCAGGGGGGCTAAGGTTTGGGATGTAAACTGGTACGGGATTGACACTGCTCAGCACCTTATTGAATGCTTCCACCACAGAGCTCTGTAGAGATGACACCACCTGCACTCGAGACACTTTTTTCGAAGGCTGGGAGGTGGCTGCAGAAATTATTGCCTGCTTGATTTGCTGCTGGGGTTTTGTTAGCACTTGGCGCAGTTCAGAGGTGGTTTGAGCACCCTGAGGCAAAAGGTTAAGGTTGGCAAGATGGACTGTCTTTGGCACAAGTTTGGCACTGGCAAGGCTTGATGCTGGCACCACAACTGTCTGCTGCTGGATGGCGTTGGCAGCTTTGATAATGGCGCTGCTGGCGCTCTGCACAGACGCAGCAGAGATGACGGTGGCTTTCACTGTGGTGTTGTTAGCCAGCTTCAGATTGATCACTTGGGAACCTGCAGTTTTCACTGCTGAAACGGGCAGGAAGGCAGTAGCCACGGGTTTGATAGTCACCTGTTTGGGGGCAAGTTCTGCAGATCCAACTGCATTGGTGACAATGGAGGACTGCAGAGGAGCTCTGGGAGGAGAGGAGAGAACGGCAGCGGAAGTTGGTGAGGACAGGAGAGATGTCATGGAGGTTACCATGGAAGCACTCTGCTCTGGCTTTTTACCAGAGTCCAAATCAACTTCTGGCAACACTCTAGTAACAGTTCTCTTGATCTCCCCAGAAGAAGTCTTGATGGTTTTTATGCGAACCTTAGGAATTGCTGGTGTTGACCCTGCGGGAGAAGATGGAGACCCTTTGCTACTATTCTCACTTGAGACACTTCTGGGACTATCGGGCGGTTTGACAGATGGCTTCTTAGCACCATCAATGAGACTCTGAGACTCAGGAGATTTTTCAATAGCCCGGGGACTTTCACTCATGTCTTTTGGTAATGGAGAAGACTCTCCTGAATTAGACTGCAAATCTTTACTGCTATCTGTAGCTGCCTTTTTAGCACTCAGTGCTGCGATTGCAGCAATGCAGGACGAAAGCTTTGCTGATGACTTCGTTTTGGACTGGGAAATGCTGGCAAGATCTGTGTCACATTTTTCAGTACTCAGTTTTCCATCAAGTACCCTGTTTTCAAGAAGCTTCTCAGAATTGTCTTTTAGTAACTTGTCCTCTGTTTTTCGAGTTTTAAAAGGCTCATAGACACCTAAATTCATGGAGCTTGTCTCTGTCTCTCGTTTACCAGTTTTATTTTTATCCATACTACTTGAAACATTGATTCCAGATTTAATTAAGTTCTCCCCTCCAAGTGCCTTTAGTTTGTCATATTCCTGCTGCGATAGAGATCCTGCCAAGACATTTGCTCTGAAATTTGCACGTATCTCCTCTTTATCTGGGGGGTCATCCACCTCAATTCTCTCATCATCATCAAATTCTTCCGCACTTGATATTGGGCTGAACTGGTTGAAAGATGAATCCTTCAGTGTAGTCTCAGAAGCTGACCCATCATCTTTAAGTGATTTCCCTTCATCTTTAGTGTAACTCTCAAGAGCTGCTGACGTTAGAAAGCCATTGTGTAAGCTATTGCCTGTGCAATGGTGGCCATCCTTATCCAGACCTTCGGAAGAATCAATAGTACGCACATTTTTCACAATGACGCTCACCCCAACATCAGATGATGATGGGACGTGGGAGTCTTCATCTGTGTGAGCATTTTGTTTTATGTGGCTTTCGTGGTCATCATGTCCAGATTCAATAGCTGCTTTGGGATCTACCATGTCTGGTATGTCAAAGGCTGCAAGAAGGTCATCAAAATCTGGGGTCTTCATATCCCCCATGGCCATGTATTTGATTGTAAGCAAATCTGTAAAATAAGCAGAAAGTCATCACTTTAAGATCCAGTAACCCAGTCTTATACAAAACAAGTGCTTGTTCACATCTGCCATGCAAAGAAATGTTATTTCACTTCTGAAGTAATGTTTTCAGAGATTATACACTACAGAACAGTGTCCAGATGTACAGCTGAATTATTACACCAAGAACTATAGTAATTTATAAACTCCACAGATAGTAACCTGGCAACTTTATTCTGGGCCCAAATTGCAGTGACCTTCCTCTTCCCTCTCCTACACTCACTCCTATTCTAACCCACCCAGACTGCAAAATACCTGGACAATCATAAAAAAAAAAAACCACAAGGCACTTGTAATTTCTCTTAAATTGTGACTTTCCTTAACAGTTGCACTATTAATCTGAGGAGTCTTCTTGAAAATAATGACATATAAAGTAATAAACATCTGTAAGACTTAGGTATTCATCAACACTGGCTACCTGGGAAGTCATTGTGGACTATGAGAAGGCAACTGAGGAAAATTTTTAAAGGATACTGAAATAGACACAGACATTTCATTAAACAGCTTCAAAGAAATATAGAAAGGTTTGAAAATTTGTTTACACAGTTCACTTAATGGCTTTGGGCCCTTTGTCTAAAGAAGTCCTCTTAATAAAAAAGTAGATGCATGCATCAAATCAAAATAACAAAGCAAGTTTCAATGAGGATTAAATGGAAAAGCCTGCAGATATCAAAGCATATCAAATCCATGTAAACTGACAGAAAGCTTTGACACAGTTTCTCATAGTCTGGGATACTAATGAGTTGCACTATGGTCGTACATCTGTCCATAGGTGTCTTTTTACAGTTGTTGCATACACTCAAAAAGAGCTAGATAGTCTCCCTCATCTGAAACTTCCTCTAATTACATATCCTGGAATTTAATTAACATTTACCCCTAACAATGAATGAAGGCCTGCTTACACACTTAATTCCTCCAAGTATGTTTAAGATCACAATGGCCCAGCAGAGGAGACACAGCTGTCCTTTACTGAGAACTACTGCTGCCCTTATCAAGAACTGCTCTCATTCTTCTAACTTTTCAAGCAAAAACAAAAAGGGAAACAAACGTGGTCAGCTGTGATACACAAGGAAGAGGAGGTCTAACCTGGCCATTTTATTAATCTCTTCTTCAGTATTCTAGGGCACCCATCTTAAGATTCAGTATATACGCTATGTTTCCACACAACTGCCAGGACTCTGTAGCCCTATTCCCCTAGTCCTCTTTTTTTTTTTTTTTTTTTTTTTTTTTTTTTCCCCTCACAAACCTTTTATTAACTCTTTCCCTTAAGGATAAAACTTCACCTTTTATCCAAGATCAAGGTCAACTGACACCTTGGCTGCCAGACGAGCTGTGAGTCTATTTCTTCCCTGGGCCAACATAATGCCTGTAAATACTTCAGAAAAGGAAATAAGGCAAGCTCCTGGTTCCCTGGGAAATGAATTTCCAGGAACTAGAATATCTTTGAAAAGTGCTCTGAGAATGCTTGAGAAAAGTTATACAGAAAACCAGTTTATTCAAAATTTCAAGCATTACTTTGCTTACTTATCATTCAATGATAAAAGTAACACGGAAAAAATATGGATATGGCCAATAGAATTACACAGCTAGGGAGTCACAAAGCAGTGAGGTGAAATACTTCCGGCTTCTGCTTTTCTGATGGTGGTTGAGAGAACTTCTGGGATGATAATGAGTTTTAAAAACTTAAAATAAGAGATTCTGAATATACCCTTACTACATGGTTTCCCCGAATCTCTTCAGTCACAACATCCACCCCTGTATCTGTGTGTCAGCATCCTACTGAAAGTAAGTTCTGCGGGTGAACCAGCAGTGGTTTATTTGTGTTCATGCCTTCCCAAAGCATGCGTGCATGACTTCCTGTGTTGTTGTTTCTTTGGAAACACATCTCAAATGTTTCCTATTAACAGCATGAAGAACATGGCACAGATTTTAGCCAAAGCAAGGCACTCCTTGTCTCTTCCACTGCCTTGCTTTTCCCAGTCAGCCTTTTTACTCCAGTTCACCTGATACCACATTCCAGTGAAGCAATCACTTGGGGAATTATGTCAAAACAAGACCCAGACCATGAGAACTCTCTTCTAATAGCAGAAGTAGCAAGCAGGACAAGCAGGATTTAGAAGCAAACAGCTGCTTCTGAAGAACTGACATTTTGTTTTTGTGATAACTACATGGAATTGTTATCACTCCTCCACAGCCCCTCTTATCTGTACCTGTTCCAGGTAGAACGACTCCAGCCATATGAGGAAAAACAAACCTACCCTTTCATGTTCTCTGTTGAGATGGGGGGACACAACAGAGAAACACACACATTTTTTCTTACTTTCAAAGTCAGATTTATCTTGTAGGTCTTCAGGACACCTGCAGATTAGGCCCAGCATTCTCCACATAAAGACCAAACTGCCTAGAAGCTGTTGCTGAGATTAAAAGGTGCTTTCCTGGGTAAAGCCAAGCAATTGTAAACACTCCAATCAGAATCATTCTGGGGAAGTTCAACAGCCTACTGAAGACAAGGAAATAGAATAACTAACTTAGCAGCTCCCGGCTCCTTGGCAGCTCCTATCTCTAAACTGCTCAGACACCTAATTTTTGTCTGTCAGGTACAAGAACGGCTTCAAGCTTTCCAGAAATGGCAAAAAATCCTCATCCTTTCCCAATTAATATTTTCTATGCATGAAGTCTTCTATAATTTCTGGATCACAAGCATGGTGTTAACATCCTCAATTTTTACTCTTTTATTTAATCCTTAACCTTTGAAGAACCAACCAGCTCTTCCTCCTTGACACTCACCTTGTTCACCCAGATCTTCCAAATAGCTAAACCACAAGTCTAACACCTTTATACAACTGCTTTAACTGGACCAGACCATCTTTTCTGCCTTACTGAATTCCTACCCTTTGCCTTCAAATCCCACCTAAATATCTAATTCCTTGATTTTGTTCAGACAATTACTCAACTTCAGCTCCCTCAGAAATAGGAAAACCAAATATAACCTTCCTCTTACCTATGGCATTCATGTTCTTACGACTACATTCCTTTACCAGCCCTAAACTCGTTTGCTCTTCATATTACCTGCATTTTAAGACTGTACACCCTGTAGGATGGAAATAGTTTTTTTTTTGCATGTTCTTCCAAAACCACCAGCATTCTTTCCAGTTTTGTGAAATGAGAACACTGAGAGGACACTGAGAGACCTCTTTTCAGGGTCTGGCACATGGCAGCATCTTGGTTCTGTTATAGCCACATATAGGAATTAGTCTGTTACTTCTACTGATTCCCAGGCAGACACGCTATTCCAGAGCAAAATTCCAGTAATCTGGAATACTTACTCCACTTCCAAACAAGAGTAATGATGCCAAAGTAACATCAAGCTCATTCTGGAAGAAAATGCCTACACAGGGAGCAATACCAGCCTAACCAGCATAAAAACATACTTTTTGGTTTTGGTTTTGGTTTCTGTATTGTTGTGATAAGAAATTTCATCAGGTAGAGAAGACATAAGGGATTCAATCAAAATTACAGTAACATATATCCTAACATTAGACAAACTTCACCTTAATACACAGATTATGAGCAGTTCATTGGTTATTAGTAATTATGACTGACTTACACTTCCAGTCATTTGCTCTGAAAGCCAAGCGTTGTAAAGACAGACAAAGCAATATGCTAATGTAACCACAAAACCTTCTTCAGGAAATGGGAACCACATCTCCAATCACGGTCTTGCCTGGTTTGACATACTCAGCAGGCAAGTGGGATGTGCAAGAGGCCACTTCAACCACAGTCAGCAATGGCTCTCATGCTCGTATACATAATGAACAAGTTCCTTTTCACTATCAAAGGGCCCATGACCTACTACTGTTGCAAAACCCAGACAAACACCCAGTTCCACAAATCACAGAAATTCCTTTTGTAATATGCAAAGTAATTCTTACCCTAAGAATTTTCAATTTCTTAGGATAATGGTCTTAAATTTAGCATCCATTTAGCATCCACAGCATCAGTAAGGGCATGCCAGTCTTGATGTAAGCACCTTAGTGAAGTATGGGGTGTTTTACAGTTAAAATTTATCCCAAGAACCTACTTTTTCTATATTATGCACCATATCCACCTGCCTTCAAAAAAGGGAAAAATCCAATTTGCTTCCATGCTCAAGATTCAATGAGTAAAAGACTTAATCCACCATTCTGGCAGCCAAAATAGTTTTACTTGTAGTTCATGACTCCTTAGGAGCCTCATCCTGTAGTCCAACACATCAGTCTTTCAACTATCTCAGGTTCTCTTTGGGTATGAGAAAACAAGACAGGAAACAGGAAGGGAATCTTCTGGAGTCTGAACCACTGCTAGCACAGTTTGAAAAGAACCACACACAGCTGGTTCAAAGTTCAGCACAATCAGACTTTGGCTGGTAAAAAGAACAGGGTTGTTTCAACACAAGCAAGGAATCTCCTTATGCACAACATAGGGGTTGAATAGGCCATCCCCAGCTACAGCTGGCCACATGAAAACCACCTGTACTTATCAAGAGATACAGGCCAGGGTTTGGGTCCACCTACTTCCCAAATCCCTCCTAAAACAAAGATGAATTCCTGAAAAGCAGGGAAATCTACATACCATTATTTTTCCAGTCTGCTTTGAAATTAATTACAACATGGCTTAATTTTGTACTTCTATATGCAAATAGGCTGGGGCAGTACCATGTGAATAATTCAGATGCACAACAATGAAGAGAATGTTGAGATTCCCAAATGAATGCAGACTGGAATTACGTTCTAAATGGCACAAGCTTCCCACGTCTTTCCTTTAAGGTACTTTTTTTGAAATGGATGACAACTGTGGCCCAAGCACAGCATGAGCAGCTGTAGCCTCCCAGGGAGCTGTCCCAGACAGGGCCCACCACGGCAACAAGCAGGCTCAAGAACATTAGGGTCAAGTTTGGGCTTTTCTGAACATATATTCCTGCTACTCTGCTGCGTATTTGTATGTTAACACATAGGCATATGGCTATGAAAACAACAGTCAATTCATTCCAAAGGGACTTGGAATGCGATAAATCCTTACCCTCATTCTGAAGACCAAATAGCTGAGGCCAATGCAAAATGAGATCCTGGGTGCTGATACGAAGACCAGCCCTCCAGCATTAACATTTGCTGCTGGAAAGCTGGCCTGCATGCACAATCCAAATCTCCTGATGAAAAGCGTTTACTGATATTACTAGACTGAAAAAAGATAACTCACAGAGAATACTGCAGACTCCATCTATTCAGTTTTCTCATCTTACGGCCACCAAAAAACCCTGCAAATTCAACATCTCCTTTGCTAAAAATAAAAATTCGTAATACAGATAGCATTCAAAAACCCAAACAAAACAGATTCAAGGAATTTTGTCACAATCCAAGAACTTAAAATTTTAAATCTGCCTCCTATTCTGTCAGAAGGAAGAAAAATCCCAAAAGATGCTGTTGTATTATATGAATTTTAGCTGACACTTGGAAAAGAACATGCATCCTCATCAGGAACAGGACCATGCAACAAGAATTCCTGTTTGCAAGCATCATTCTGCTACAGACGTCTATAGTCAAACATAGACCCTCTGCATCCCGATGCTGAAGGACAGGAGCAGAAATCAGCACAGTGATCTGTCAGGCATTTTGCTCTGCCACAAGCTAGTCCCTGCTCTCTCAAACCTGAAAAACAACACATCACAGCTGCAGTAAAGCTCACAAACCCAGAATTTCAGGCCAAATTTTAGCATATTATTTTCACTTTTCTACAATTAATAGCTCAGTGCCTTACGTAATCTACTGCAGTCAGAAACAAAAAGGTTCCCTTGTATTGTCACCCTGCCTCAGCAGCCAGCACACAACTTACCAGTATCCACAACCTCTCAAGGCTTTTAGGACTGTCTATTCTGCTGAGCACAGAGGAAAGGACCCACATTTCACACCACAACAGAGTATTTCAAATGTTCTGCCTCCATGTTATCTTGATTGTAGTTTACCAAACCAGCTAACACAGCCAGGACTGGGAAGATTTTTAAAAAATCACACTGGTTAGAATTCTAGAGTTGCTGATTTCCTGTTATAGGAAGTAACAGTTCTAGCAAAAGAATCCCCCAGGCAATATGTTTAGTGATCCACTGTGCAAGCTCTAACAGCCTTTGTTCTTCCCTTTGCTGGATTCATTCCTGCTTCCTTCTCTCTATCCCTCTCCCTCTCTCTGAATCCTTCAGATTTCACTATAAGATAAAAATGTCAGCTCAAATCTAAGTACACATTTTGTATTTTCTAGTTGAGAAAGAAAAACTAAAAATTCTATCCATTATCCATTGCTTTGAGTTAAAAGCAGTCACCCCTCTGCAGTTGCTGCACTGCCCATCCAGCTTCCTATGCACAGTATTATAATTCATACCACTGGAGCTCCACTCAGCTCCCCAGAATACATCTTTCCATTTGGCCACTGCAAAATCCTCCCCAGGTTACAAAAGTTTAAGAAAAGCCATCCATACTATTTCTTTTGCACAGTTTTTTCCTCTGTAGGTGATATTAAGTACATGTTTAACACTGAAGACCTGAATAAAAAAACAAGTATTGGGCCACTGAGATGAGGTCGAACGATAATGTATAAATACCCAGACAGCAAATTCTGCATGTGTGAGTCTCTTAATACAGCACAGAACAGCTCCCTGCCACAACTGGTCGGCAATTCATGATTGTCATTCAGAGGCCTATTCCATATTCACTACATGGTGAAAAAAAAGTTCAGCGGGATAGATTTCAATGAAAACACTGTATTTAGCCAAGATATCAGTAAGTCTTTTCAACTAATAGCTTTAATCCTTTTAAAAATGGAGGACCTTAATAGCATTTCTTCATTAACACTTAAACAATTGTCAAGTGTGCAATCAGGATGCAACTCCACGCTATTGTTCTATTCAGCCCAAACCACCACATCTCACCTTGTGAACCTTGACCTTTGAGGGATCTTTTTAGCCAGTGCTCAGTTACTGCCACAGCCTCATTACCTCTGCAAACACCAAAGGGTTAAAGGCAGCCTCAATCAATAGGCCTACAAGGAAAAAAAAAGGGAAAACGAGTATGCCTTACAGCATCTTTTCAATGCTTTTATGCACAATTCTACAATATTGTTTCCTTCTGGCCTTAGAAAAAGGCACAGTAACTCCCCCCCCCAATTAATGTTTCCTAAGGAAGCAAACCACAAGACAGCACCCTGTAAATAAAACAGCATGCAAAGCATCCTCAGTCACAAGCATATCTACAATTACAAATAATTCAATCCATTTTATTTAGTTTCATTTTAAAGCAGACTGCGTAACCAGTGTCCCACCCTTGCAAAGCAAAAATATTTTAGTAAGGGTCATAAATCTCAGCTCTTGCCCATTCCTTAAGCATAAAAAGGCACAAAAAGCCAAAGTAATCTCAGTTACTGCAAATATGTACATTTACATACAGAACCCTTTATGACTACGTTAGCCACATACCAGTGCTGTGTGTCTAAAGTGTGCATTCACATACTGTTTTGGGATGGTATCTTTCTGCAAGCTCCTCTGCTTTTGGCTGCCATGAAGGGAGGAAGCTATCCCAGTGTAGTAGCTCAGTGACTGCATTGTGTTCAGGAGCTGATCTGCCTCAAACCAGTTCCAGCCGGTTCTGGTCACCCTACATAAAAAGCTATGGCAACCCTCGCTGAGTTGCCAACAGGACCCTGAAAATCGCAGGGGCTGGTTTTTGTGTGGCGTGGGGCCGGCACAGCCCTGTGCCCCAGCTCCCCTCTTGCCCGGCCCACGCGGCCCCTGCTCCCCAGAGCCCCCCCACACGCTCCCTTGCTCGCCTCCCCCACTTACCTCCCACAACCTGGCTGAGAGCAGTGTGTGCGTGCCTGTCTGTAGCTAACAAAGAGACCGCAATAAAAATCCTCATAGGATCTCTCTTGCAGCACCAGGCAGGCTCGGCCACAGCCCTGGGAGACAGGCTGCTAACCCGGGTGGCTGCCCCTCTGCTCCCCCAGATGAGGGGTGGCTACTCACACACGTAAAATCTGCCCCCTCATGCCCACGGCCATGGGGTGCCCGATCAAGGGCTTCTCCCATCTGCCCTCCCCACTCCTCGTTCCATCTGGGGCCGCCCGAGTGGCATCTCCAGTGCTCTGAGCAGCATTACTATAGTGTACCCACAAATGCACCTCCCGCCCCTCAATAAATCCATTTCTGCAGCAGCAAGATGCCTACAAAATAGTTCATTTGCCCCCTCCTCGCAGCACCGACTTGGCTGCTACACTGATTTTTCTTTTTTTTCTTTTGCTATTCGACTATGCTGGAGGCCTTGAGAAGCAGCGAGCTGCAGCCCCACGGCTGGGCAGCCCCCCCCGGCTTGCACCCGCCGGCTCGGGAGGCCCGGTCAGGCTCTGCACAGCTCCCACCCCGCAGAGATTGTGCGGACCGACTGCTTGTCCGGCCCTGCACCTCTCAGGCGATGCCTGCCCAGGGTCTCAGCCCCTTGCAGTGCCCATGCCGCTCCGGGGGTCTGCACCCACCTGTGCCCGTGGCCGTTCTGCTCCTGCCCGCTCGCCTTCACCTCGGCCACGTAAGGGCCTTCCTCCTCCTGCATGGCTGACAGTCACCCAGACCGAGACAGCAGCCACCCCGCTCCTCTTGGCTACTCACCCTTGCTCTGGGAACACCAGTAACCACCTCCGCCTACGCGCTGAAACCCCCTCCTCTCGGAGGCTGCGGGAGATGCTGCTCTGCAGGGCTCCCTCCGGGTGGGTGGGCGACCCCGGCAAAGCCCCTCTGCCCCTGGCTGCACCTGCAACTGAACAGAGGTCTCGGGCACAACCCTGCAGCCCTCCCTGCAGAGACACCTTCTTCGCATCCCTCATCCCCACCCCGTTCTGGGGAGAACCACCATGTTCTTCCGCTGCCTCGGCCCGTCTTCCCGATACAGGCTGTTGCGGCCGCAACCGCGGCCGGCCCTCCCTCGGCCCCTCGGTCCGGGGGACGGCTCCCTCCTCCGGGCTGCCGCGGTCCCCGGCACCTCCCCGCGGGTCTGCGCGCTCCGGGCCCGAATTGGCTCTGTCCGAGCGGGCCTTGCGAACCCTGGGGACGGCCGGGGAGGAGAGGCCGTGGCCCCTTCGGCGGCGGGGAGAACGATCCGCCCCCGCACGGCCGGCTCGGAGCCGCCAGCCTGGGCAGTCCCTGCACGGGTACCCCCGGGGCTCCGGCCGCCGCCGGGCCGGGAGGAAGCGACCCCATAGCATGCAACCTCCGGTCCCCATGCGACACACCTGCTGCGGCCGGAGCCGGCGGGCTCGGGCAGCGCTACGGCCCTCGGCGCGGCCCGGCCCCGCGTCGGAGGAACATAATGGCAGGAGGCTGCGGGGCTGGGCGGTGGGGGTGGGGGTGCTCGGCGGCACAGATGGGGAGACGCTCCCGTGTGATTCCGTGTGGAACGGCTCCCTGGAGAGTGCCGGGGGCGGGGAGGCTGCGGGGCCGCTGAGCCCCGGGGCCGGGTCGCGGCCTCCCGCAGCCCGGACAGCTCGGGAGGGTTTCCGAGCGGTGCCGGCGGGCAGCACCGCGCCGGCCGCCGGGGCCGATCTCCCCCGCGCCGAAGCCGCGTGCCGTGGGAGACGCTGCCCGGGTCCCGCCGGGCTCTCCCCGTGCCCGAGCACCTCAGGCCTCGAAGGGCAGCCGGGGGACGAGACCGCGGCCGCTGCTCCGGTTGCAGACCAACAAAGGACGGGAGGAGCCACACGCTGCCAGCTCTGGCGGCTCAGCCCCTCCGCCGGCGCTGCGGCCGCTGTGCCCGGGCCCGGCCAGGGTCACCCCCCCAGGTCCCGGGTCGCGGCTGGGAACCGTGTCCCGGGGCGATGCTGCCTTTCCTTCCACACCCCGTTACCCGGGCACTCTCGGGCCCCCCTGCACAGCGCCCGCGGCCCGAGCGCTGCCTCTGACCGGCCGCCTTTGTTGGCTGCGCAGCCATCCTGGCGGCATCGCCATTGCTAGGAACGGCAGGACGAGATCCCGCCCTCTTTCTGTTACCACCGTGCAGCACCATTTTCAGAATGTGAAGTTTCGCACGCGAATCGTTTTATTGAAGCACGCTAATGGCTTTAAATACATAACACCCGTCTCAAATTTACGCTATGGACATACAGTATACTAAATATTCTAGCTAAAATACTGCTGGTGTATTAATGTCTCTTACGAGCCTGTTAGGAAGGCCGTAGAGTCCCAAAGGCGTTCTGCAAAGCACAGCTCCTTCTGGGAAGCTGCCCCAGAAGCTGTGCCCGCAGCTATCGGTAGGGCAGGAAATTTCCCATCGAGCCATACCTTGGTCGCTCCGATCCCGCCTCCACGTAAAAATTCTGACTTCCTCCAATTAACCAAAACTGCAGCAGAACGTAGGTTCTACTGAATTTGAATATAATAAATCGATTCTAGGATTATAAAAAAGTGAATTTGTGCACTAGTTTTAATGTTCAAGAAGGGCCATACAATTCAGCTTGCACAAGCCTTGGGCTCATCCTGAAAGTGCTTAGTGAAATTAGGCCATGATAATTAAAACACCCTATTTCTTCCCAGTTCACCAGTAAACTTGTTATAAATTGAGGCGAATAATTTGATTCAGCCTTTTAAGATCAATTAATAATTGTATTAATTACAGCAAGCGATAGCAAGCAAACAGCGCTGGGTGCAGCTGGGGAGTCTGGCTCTGCCAAGAGCTGACAACCTTCCTTCTCTTCAGTCCCTTTTTATACTTTTTTTTTTTTTTTTCCCCCCCCGTATCTTCTCTGCGTTGTGCTGAGGGGTGATGGGTCTCTTCTGCTGCGGTTATCAGTTCCAGCCAGTCCTGCAAGATCTTTTTTTTTTTTTTCATATATAGTTATCACATTGTTTTACAGTATTTGCTTGCAGTTACCTAGCCTTGCCTAATCCTGCAAGTTCTATACCCTGACCCCCACCCTTTTCCTCTACCCTAATTTCACACTCTTGATGAACAAACAAGTCAATGCAGTTTTTCACAAACTGACTTGATTAAAGAAGTGACAACTACTCTCTCATTTCTGTGGTTGGTTTGCATAATAGCATAAAGAAGATGGCAGCACCTACTCTGGTATTAATACCTGAAATGTTAATAGATTTCACAGTTTGTACATGGCACAAAGGTCCTTGCGTGTGCTGCCTTTCACACAGATCTACTTGTTTTCCTTCCAGCCAGGTGTCCTTGACAACTCCATAGGAGATAAATCTGTCACCCTAAGTATTTTACTTAAAACACATAAAATTAAGATCATTTAAAGTATATTTTACAAGTCATGCCAGGCTGATAGCACTTGTCCAGTGTTTTTTTAATTCAAGCACACAAAAAAAGAGGTTCAGAACCATGAGTGTCCCTGCAGTCACTTCTGCATTGGGAATTTTTGGCATGTTGACCTTATGTCTTGGCTCTGAAGTCTTAGACCAGAGGTCCTGTTCACTCTCCCAGACTCTCTGCCACATAACCCTTAGGACCTGTGGTGGAAGAAATTCTCATTGTTCAAGTGATCCTGTTTTATCCCTTGGCTTTGCAGGAGCCAGGTTCAAAGTCCTCAGTCCTGCTGTCCTCACATGGACAATCTCCATCCCAACCAACAAAACCATCACCAGGGGATCCCTCAGCTGGACTCCAACTCTGAGATGGGATCTCCTGGTCCCCTGTGCTGACACCTGCAGAGTCCTATAACGCGTACTACTTCTTTCTCTGGGAACCTTGAGCCCCTCCTTTTCTTTTCCTGAAGAAATGCCTCCAGTGCGGCTTTCTGAGCAGTCAGCAAGGAGTGCTGCCAACTCAGAACACTTTGATGCTACAGTGAATGCTAAACTTGAGTGCAATAATAACTTCTTAATTATTTAACTTCTTAGGATTTTAAGGCTCTTGAAATTCAGAACTCTGAACAGTGGTGTATTCATTTCATGCCTTCTGTACAGGGATCGATTTTAACTGCATCAAACAGAGCTTCTGCACTTTAAAGATGTGCTGGGACCAAAGAGGATTTTGCAGGTGGATTGACACAATAAAAACTGAAGTCAATTTACATTTGATATTTTTTTTAGTGTCAGAATAAATACTAGATGTTTTGTCCTTCCTACTTTTGGGGAGGACATAAGAGACCATTTCCCTTCTAGCTAGCAAAACATGCTTAACGTAAAGCAAGAAGGGTAAAATACAGTTGCAATATTTCCAATCTGAAATTTGTTTTCAGAGTAATAGCTTTACAACTTCTGGCAAATGCTTAATAGTGTTTGTTAATTCCATTGTTTTTTTCACCATAAAGTATCTTGTAACGTGATCAACAAAAGCAGAGCAGAAGCTTTATTTCTTGTTTCAGAATACTTATATTTTTCTTTTTATCACTGTTTAGAATGCAGTGGTACTTTCCTTTAGCCACATATATTTAAACATTCAATATTTAAAAACCAGCTTACAATTAAACTTCCCCTATTCAGATGCTCCTATCACTAATCTCCAGGTATTTTCTTGCAGAAAAAAAAAAAAAATTCCTTTCCTGGTGATTAAAATATATCTTCTATTAAATTTTGGACTAAAACCCCCAGGATTGCTTTTTAAAATTACAAGTTTTATTAAAAGAAGGTGATCTCATAGGAGATCAGATGAAGAACTTTGGTAGGGGGAAATCTATGAACACTGCCCAGAGCTGAGGAACGTCTCCACAACAGGCAGTTTCCCCCCCCACCCCCTGATTTAACGGATGTGTTCATGGAAGATGGCAACTCATGCTATCCATCTGCAAGGAGAGAATCTTTAACTCCAGACTGAACGTTTGCAATGCCCAAGTAGCATGAAGAGTGAGAAACCCTAACGATTCTCAAGATGTTAAATACTGTAAAGGCCCAAATACTGCAATGTCTTGAACAACAAGAGAGTCCCATTTTTAATTATCTGTAAAAGAGATGCTGATTTAGATATAATACAAAGCCAGGTGGATCTGTCGGGGCTTAATTATACCTTTTTTTCTGTCTGTTAACAAACCAGAGCATTATCCAAAGAAATCAGAGTTGGTTAGTGAAGATTGTGGGCTTAAAACAGTTCTGTTTGTGAGGAGTTGCAGTCAATACCTCAGTTTTTCCACATGTATGAGGTATGAGGTAACACCATGCTGTGCCATGCTGAGGTCCCAGCTCCTCTGAACAGGCAAAGCAGAACACACACGCCTCAGGATTTCACCTACATATGAACTATAGTATGAAGTGTATTCCCAGTGGGAGGAAAAGGGCTCTGCTCAAAATCTGCACATATATGAGACTCAGTGTTGCACTTGCAGCAGGCCTGGTACACAGGCCATATGCCTGCAGCACTTGCTGGCTCATCCTCAAGCTGCCAAGCAGTGCCACTGGTGCTCAAGGTAGACATCTGAAGGCACTGTCACAGGGTTACATCTGTTGGCAAAAGCCTGCCTTCAAGCCCAAGCATTTCTAGATGTGAAACAGGAAAAATGACATAGAAAAACTCGTATGATTTGATGATTGTCAAAAGCTGAGAAGGCATTTCTTCTGCATAGGAGTACTGTTTCTGGAGAAATGGACTATTTCCAGAGGAGCAGCAGCAGAAAATTGACTCCTCCCCAGAGGCAGGTCAGCCACAGCTCCTCTGGGCAGTCTGCCAGTGCCTCACTCCCCTGACAGGGAAGAAATTCTTCCTTATTTCCAATCTAATCCTGCCCTCTGACAATTTAAAGCTGTC